CATCAGATGAGCTCGATCTTTTGAAGTCACACATAACCTATTAGTCTAGTCTAGAAATATTTATCAAGATTTTTTGATACGGATGCTTTCAAGAACTGTAGCGCGATATGCGACCGGGACCCTTCTACTGTGAATTGAGTATAAAACATACTCACACATAACATATCAACCAAAAAATAAATATTAGCAAAATTAAGTTTGGGTTTATTTTAGAAAGATATATTTTTAATGATAAACACTAAAGTTTTAGTTAAAACAATTATATCGTCAAATTTTAACCACACGCATAACTAGGAATATCAACTACTCGGTTCAACTCTAATAGACAATGGGTTAAAATCTTTGCTTAGTCTTGAGCTACTGTAATTTTATAAGCGGTATACAAAATTTTATTTGGTTGACTTGAACCTAATCCCAGCGAGTTGACTCTGCCCCTTTAACATACCATCGTGGGTTAAATTTATAAAATAAAACATGAAAAAATTGATTGAAATGTTTTCTTTTAAATCCACCTAGTGATGTCATGGCTAAACTTCTACAAATAGTGTAACATTCAATTGGTAGGTGGTTCTTGAGAAACTTACGATGTCCACGAATATTCCAAAAACATTCGCATCTTTGCTGCCTTGTAAGAAAATCTTCCACTTGTCCTCTTGTCAAGTTGATAAAGCACTCCTCCAATGTTGTCAACCAGCTTTGCAAACTTGTGTTCTTCCCAATTCCTGGAAGCCTTCTTGTTTATTAAGGGGTAGCCCTACCTTGTTTTGTTAACTTATTGCTTTCCAGCAAAGCGTGCTGGCCCTATCTCTAAAGCACCAAACTTCCACATTTTAGGAGATGGTCTATCTTCAATGGCTCGATATGAAAGACGACCAGCTCTACAACTTTTGGTGATATATCTTTCAAAACCAAGTTGTGTATATGCATTTAAAATATACCCATGGGTGGAACTCTCACTCTGATTTGATTACCAGGCTGGGGATAGGCAAACCACTTATCAATGCATGTGTGTTGCTCCGGTGGCCACATATACAAGAGTTGTTAGTGAAGTTAGCTAGAAGGGTCGTCATTTCCCTACCATCCAATCTTCCACCTGCCAGATTTATCGTTGCTATTTTATTATAATGGGTATCATTATCCATTGGATAAATCTCTCCGCGAATTCCAAACGGAGAGACTGGTTCGAATCCACATTAGAACGAACCATGAAAAAGGCGTCGAGCGGGTGCAAACTCGAGGAGCTAGGAAGGATGGAAGAAAGCTTGGCCGTTTTTTCACTGAACTACTCAAACTTTTTGTTAGAAAAGCGGAAATAGCTCAGTTCGAGAGATGATGTGGTGAAGCAGTAAGCGATAGTGCTATGAAACTCCACGCCACATGTACGAGATAGACATTGTCATCACAACAGACATGTCTACCATAACAAGCAAGTGATTCATCATGGTTCTGTTGAAACTCGCCCACAGGATCGATCACATCAAATCACAACAGAGATGTGCACAAAATAACTTTGATAGCCAAGGGCTTTTGTCGTGCCCTTTGTTTTCCTCTTTATTGCTTTTCTGGTTTTCTCCGCGATACAACTCACGCATGGCATATGTATATATACACAGCCCAACGCACACAGCCACACGTACAAGTCCTACACGGACTTGTATTGCACCTTGACTCACGTAGACAATATACTATTAGGACACAGCTACCAAACCTAGACCAACACATACGGAAGTTGTGGATTATGTCCAACAATCTCTCCCTAATCTTGATGTTGTCATCTCCTTCATGCTCTTTCTGATCTTGACTAGTTAAAGGTCCGCACCTTGTTGATCCAAACTCTAACGTATGATCCAGACTACCAGCCCACACGGTCGCATCTATGTGTGCAACATGCAAGACTGGACGCATCATCAGTCTTCACGTCATCCAACTTAACTGGTCATTGTCCCACTACACGCCGAGCTTAATCTTCAACTGTCATATCCGTACACTAAGTATGACCCGCCTGAAAACATGCAGAACTTCCTTGCTCTATAATGTTGTGCCACCTCCATTGCTTGGCCGCTGCCTTGCACTCGGTTCGCACCATACTCATTGTACTTGCTTGCAGCAGATCTACTCTCCATGGCTCGCACACCTCCTCGCTTTATGATGGCTTCGTCTACTATCGTCCGCCTTCGGCATCACACCGAACCCACACTAACCGCAATCCGAACACTCCACGAGGACGTGGACATGACTCACGGAACACCGTGCATACCACTTTAGCTCCAACAAATCATCACCGAAACGAGCACTTGGACACGACGACAACTCAAAGACGCGACTGGACGACTGACCGTGCAAACACGCACGACTCCTTGACTCATCCGACTCCCCCGGACGACGATCTTGATGAGCTCTAGCACCGCACCTCGGCACCACCTCTCCCATCAATGATCTCTTTCCACCTTCTTTCTGATGACAACCTGCCGTCTCCCTCCTTGTCGCTCCAATGAACGACGATCACCTGATCCTCCTCGTTCGTCGCTCCATCCAGCGACTATATTGCCCGCCCCGAGGTGCTAGTAGGTCACCACCCCGAGGCAAGCGCGGCTTGACTCGAACCTTGCTCTGATACCAATTGTTGGAACTTGCCCACAGGATCGATCACATCAAATCACGACAGAGACGCGTACAAAAAACTTTGATAGCCAAGGGCTCTTGTCGTGCCCTTTGTTTTCCTCTTTATTGCTTTTTTGGTTTTCTCCACGATACAACTCACGCGGGGCATATGTATATATACACAGCCCAATGCACACTGCCACACGTACAAGTCCTAAACGGACTTGTATTACACCTTGACTCACGTAGACAATATACTATTAGGACATAGCTACCAAACCTAGACCAACATGTACGGAATTTGTGGATTATGTCCAACAGGTTCGTCGTGCTACACACTAGAGGAACACTGATGTAAAATTGGCAGCAACAGTGACCAATAAATCCATTAGTAGTAACTAAAAATTGATGCTTTCTCACGCACAAATCAACTCATACATCAATATCCAAACAGTGGCATAACTATACAAGCTAATCCATGCAAGGTCACACAGGTTAGGTGGATCGGTTCATACATGCACACTGTAAGAATAAATGGTCTACAATTTCAACATGACCACAAAATTGACGGGGTTACATCCCCATGCCCCTCGTTGTAACAAATTATCCTTAAAAAAGATACGAAAAGTCTAAATGCCATACATGTTATGTAGTACACACACCTAACAAAAGCACCCTTACAAAAATTGAAAAATACATCCAGATCTTTGGGTGTCAAAGTCTTTTTCCTCGTGCATCCACTGGCGACACGTTGTGAGAAAAGCACGCCACCTCTTGGCCTCCATCCCAGCTGAGCAAACTTGTTGAAACTCATGAGTGTGTATAAGCAGTGGTTAGGAATTTGTTGATGTAGATCAAAAAACGTCGTTATTGCATCTGCATAGCAAATCACCGCCCATGAGAAAAATATGCCAGAGAGGACATGTAGAACGCCCCAGGCCTGACTAGACGGAGTCAGGGAGCACAAATCTCACATGCTTCCTGACGAGGCCGAGACTGGACAACCTTTGTTGGTCGGAACTCGAGCCGAAGAACGAAGAGGCGCAACCACGTTATCCGCTCTGTAGGACAACGCAACCATGACAAACCTACAAAAGAAAAAAAATCAAAGATGGAGAACCAGATTTAAGGACACATCATCTTCCACACACCTCCCAACAATATGAATAGACACCACCGGAGCGAGTGCGAGGTGGGAAGACCTTATTCCATGCCGCCGCCGACGCCATCGTCTCGTCCGCGCCGATCAAAGGCAAACCCTAAATTTATTCCTAACCCTACCACCACTAGAAAATTATCCATAGTTAATTAATACATATTCCCTCCGTCCCATAATGTAAGACATATTTTGACTCTAGTATAGTGTCAAAGAACGTCTTACATTATGGGACGGGAGTAGATTATTAGAACAAGACACATGAAGATATATGTAGTCACCTTTTCTTATCAGTAAACAAAGATATATATTAGGGAAAACACATGTACTCTAAGATGAATGAATGAAGGGTGTTGCTATCATCGAAAAGTAGAAAGAAAACTTAAAGCTATTGATGAAAAAACTTGAACAGATATTGTGTAGTACAACTTGCACTGTTTCACAATATGCAAGAACAAGTATATAGCAGTAATTTCCGGACAACAATATGATTTGGACACACGCCGTTGAGTCAATTTATAACTGCAGCTAGCCCACTCTAAAATATATTTTTTCATTAAGCGCTCTACATGAGTCGTGCAGCTTGAGCACTGCCATTTGTGTGTGAGGTTGTTGTCCTCATTCATGAAGACATTGAGGTAAGATACAAATCTTGCCAAACCAGCCGTCATTAACACAAAAGTTAGGCGTACTCTCGGGGGAAAAAACACAAACTTAGGCTGTGAATCAATAGACATGCATGGATACGGGAAGTATGGTGAGGAGTTGGGAGCGACTGTGTGTATAGATATGTAACATGTGTTAGAGAAAACAAGAACCTAGTAGGCAATAATGCTTCCCATCGAGACATGTTGGTGCATTGCATGTATGGATATCTTGGAGCATTGTGCGGGAGCCACGCGGAACCCCTGCACACCAAGCAATTAAGATTCCTCGAAGCAAAAGATATTGCCAGCCTATGTTTGGACATCCTACAACCATGGCGAGCCCGTGGCCAGACCTTAAAACGCCATGGCCATGCACGCCGGGCTAGCTCTCCTCTCAGGTTAAATTGCACATCCTTCCTATATAACTTCGACACACACGGGATGCAGAGGCCATCAACCTGCAGCATCCTCCCGCCGAGCCGTCGCCAGCCTCCTGCTCTCTCTCGGTCTTAATTTGGCCTGCCCTCCCCGCGCGCACACCGATAAATAAACTCTCGACGAGGGCGGTCGAGAAGAGACCGAAAGGAGCAAGAAACATGGCGCGGCTCTCCGCCACCACCACCGCCCTCCTCCTAGCCACCGTCGTCTTCTTCATCGCCGCCGGCGCCGCCGAGGCCGGCCCGACCCACAACGGCGACGCCGTCACCAAGGACTTCATCCTCGCCCGGGGCATAAAGCTGCACATCTCGAAGCAGGGCACGGCGACCGACCACATCTTCGCCGGGGGCAGCAAGCTCTTCATCGCGAGGCACGACGCGGCGCCGGCCGACCACGCCTTGGCCGGGGGCAGCAAGCTCTTCATCGCGAGGCACGACGCGGCGCCGGCCGACCACGCCTCCGCCCGGGGCAGCAAGCTCGACGTCACGCAGAGCAAGATCAGCATCCCGAAGAAGAGGCTCGCCGTCTCGCAGAGCAAGGCGTCCGTCGTCCAGAAGAAGGGCTTCATCTTCTTGGAAGGGCGCAAGCTGGCCGCCGGCGGGGGCGCGTTGCCGTCGGCGGACACGGCCGGCGCGGCCCCGGGGGCGGTGCAGGCGTGCGACCAGCTGGAGGCGTACCAGCGGGTGTGCCACACGCTGCTGCACCTGCCCGGGGTGACGACGGCGCGGACGCTGATGGAGACGGCGGTGCGGGTGGCGCTGGGGCGGGCGCGGGCGGCCAAGGTGACGTTCGACGCGGCCAAGGCGGCGTCCGGGGCCGGGAACCCGATTGCGTCCATCCTGGGGTCGTGCGAGCAGAACTACGACGACCTGGTGGACGCGCTGGAGGAGGTGAGCCGGGCGATGCACAAGCCCGGCACCAGCAGCGAGAGCCTGGTGGAGAAGATGACGGCGGCCAGCACCTACGCCGGCGACTGCGACAACTGGTACGAGGAGCGCGACGTCAAGTCGCCCTACGAGGTCATGCAGCGCCACCTCGCCCAGATGGTCTCCGTCGCCCTCGGCCTCGCCAACAAGAAGCTCTGAGCAAGCGGATCCATGCATGGAAACACACGATCGACGTATGCATGCTAGCTATGCTATGCTGCACGCGCTGGTTAATGGACTCTTGATTTGTGAAGGGCGTGGTGTGGTGTGGTGTGCTGTATGCCGTATGCATGCACTTGATGCTATATACGTACTATGTGATCAAGGTTTGAGGAGGTTTGTAGTGCTAGTGTATGTACAAGTATGCTAGCACGGCAAGCAGGTTGATCTCGTTAATCTAAAAACATTTCATTTCAAATCAAATGTTACTCTATTTGGCTTTCATTCCTTGTGTTGGAAAATGTCTTCAAAACTATGACTTGATGACTGGAGTGGTGCATGACATCTTTCTTTTCTGTGGTTTTCCCGTTTTGATCTTCTATAAAATGCCACATTATCCAGCTGGGAAGGTAGCTATAGCATTCCAGATTTTCATTGTGTTTACTGAAGGAGAAGAAGTCCACATTAGTTGACGGAATGGGAAAGATCGCATGCTTTACATGGTCTTGCACTGCAAGTTCTCCCGCAAAAAACAACATAGATGCATTGTTAGTTTGCCTTCACCGACATCGAGGATCCTTACGAATGGTGAGATATTGAGTTTGCTAACGAAGATCCTTAGGAAAGGCGAGATATTGAGTTTGGTTGCTTGATGATGGTAGGTCGCTCTCAATTTTGATTTGTGCTGCTGGTTCGTGTGCAACACCCCATGTGCCCACCTCGCAGCGATGCACTTATGTTGTGTTTCAGTTTGGAAGATCAGATCACCAAATTTGGTGCAGCTACCCATTTTGAGCTAGAATTGTTCTTCACGAATGATGAGCTGGTGATTGATTAACCAATACATTCCTCCCATAAGGAACATTGTTGTCACATAAGGGTGTGTTTGGTTGCAGTAACCGACTGGAATTTCACGGGTCCAACCCGTTCCTGGACCACGTTCTCGCGTTTAGTTCAGCGATGAAACCGGAACCCACTGATTCTTGGGAGCGGCATATTCCCTCAATATGGGCACGGGGTCATACCTCCAATTCGGTGGAACCACGCGGAACGGCCCGCAACTCCCTCGTCTCTTTCCCCGTCTCCATATGCGACCCCAGCAGCCACTCCCACCTCTCCCCCTCTCCGGCGAGGCCTCTCCCTCGCCTCCCAGCGGGGCGACGGCGAGCTACCAGCGGGGCCGGTTAGCGGCGGAGTGGGGGAGGCAAGCAACGCATCAGCCATACCGGCGTGGATCTGATGTCAAGCCTCGTGCGGATCCTCGGGGTCGTCAGGCTCGGAGGCTCGCGAGCCGGCGACGGAACTGTTGACCTTCCTCCCGAGGCCCGTGCTCGACATCATCCCGTCTCGTACCTGGCGCCGCCGGTGGGAGGCCCTCTCCTGTTGGTTAAGCCACTGGATCGATTCATCCAGAGAAGACAGATGTATGTTAAAAAAGCTAGCTCAAACCACCTTGATCGATTGATCCAGCAGCTTGTTGTGAAGCCGGCATGGGCTAGCTTGCTCACATCGATCCGATTACATCCAATTCGATTGATCCAGCAGCCTTCTGTGAAGCCGGCATAGGCATGCCACTTGATTTTATTTTTCATCCTTGTATGTGCTGTTTTTTGATATCAAAATTCAATTCAGTGTAAATATTCAGTCGAAAATGTCGCTGAGAATATAGTTACAACTGTTCGTACTGTAGTGGTAATCTCACTATTTTTATACACAAGATGAGCTGAACTAAATCTACTACATTCCATCTCTTCAACCAAACATTAAAATGTAATCATTCCATTCCACTCAATTGTCTGCACCAAACACACGAACGGAACCAACCCGTTCCTATGGAATGGAACCATGACATTCCATTCTACTACGTTTTCAAACCAAACACACCCTAAGCAAACACGGCATAATGATGACAACCGTCACCGATGGCACTAAGAGCAACTCCAACGTGGCCGACCCAAACGGACGACGCATTTGTCCGCTTTTTGTCTGTTTGGGTCGGCCGCCCGCCCGGCGTCCGCCCAGTTTTGCATTTGGGTCAGCAGTGCACCCAACGCGCCGACCCATTTCATGTCCGCACTCAACTTTTTTAAAAAAGGGCCCGCGGCCGATCATGCCAGCGACCATGTCTCATGCCGGCACCATGCCAGCGCCGGCATACAATGTCGGCTTCAGAAAATATCACCACAGTTCATGCTGGCGCATTCGCCAGCCGGCCGGCACACATGCCAGCACACAAAAAAGGGTGGGACTTGAGTTCGACCACGCCATCGCGGCTTCCATGGTCATGCCAGCACATATGCCGGCATATAAAAAAGATGGCGCTCGCCGCCATAGATCACCCGTCGTCGAACTTGAGCATGTCGGCCTGCATCTTCTTGAACCACGGCCTCTTCCTTGGCGACACGGTGTTGAGATCCACCTTCATGATCTTCGCCCCAGTCATCATGCTCGCGAGAGCCACTTCTTTCGCCTTGGTCTTGGCGTTGGCGGACTCGATCTCTAGCATCTTAGCTTGCTTCTCCGCCTCTAACCCGAACATCTTGACTTGCTTCTCGACGTCCATCTCAAGCCTCCTCCTTTGGATCTCCATGAAAGCGTCCATTTGCTCCGCCTTGAAACGCCGGTGCTCCTCCTCCCTTGAGTCCTTCTTATTCATCATGCCCTCCACGCTTGCGATCAAGGCGTTGGAGGCCACATCCCACTTGTCCTCCTTCTTGGAGTTGGTCTTCCCCCACGGCCGTGCCGGCTCGCCCTCCCCAACATCCTCCATGGCTTGCTTCCCCCCACGTGACTTGAGTGCGGCATATTGCGCCTTGAACTTCTCCTCGTCCTTGATGACCCGAAAGCAATGGGAGAGGTTGAAGCACTTGCCATTGTGTTGAACCTTGAATGCCTCCAAAGCTTGAAATGTGTTGGGGATATAACTATTGAGTATAAACCGCCCAGGAGGGGCCAGGTTATACTCATGGCGATTTACCGGTATTGAAGCCCATGAAGACATAGAAGATGGCGACTTACGAAGGAGATTTACTAAGAAAGCCCAAAGCCCAAAGGTGGGTTAGGGCCCATAGATGTAAACCGCCATATGTGTGTATGACTTGTATTGTAAGGTATGGAAGAGTAGATACCGAGCCGGACTCGTTTATGAACCGGTCGGGATTTTGTGAGCCGCGGGGCGTCAACCTATGTATATAAAGGGACGACCCGGCGGCGGTTTAGGGCAAGAGAGAAGAGATCGAAAGCTAGATCAAGCGTATTCGTTCTCTGGTAATCGAAACATAAGCAATACCAACCTCAACTGGATTAGGCTTTTACCTTCATCGCAAGGGGCCGAACCAGTATAACTCCTTGTGTCTTTTGTCCCGCTTAACCCCTTTAAGCTAATCTCGTTGCGATGGCTCCACGACTAAGTCCTTGCACTAGGACATCTGCCGTGACAACCCCACGACAGTTGGCGCCCACTGTGGGGCTATCGCACGATGGTTTCGAGTTCTTGAAGGGCAGCTTCGAAGGGATCAAGTGATACGTTGTGGGCCTGATGACCAAGAGTCGTCGCGGCAAGCTCCACATCGACGATGCAGGCTGGGGCCCTGAGGCCAGCACAATTGAGTATGGGTACCGGGTCCCCTTCGATGGAATCCACGTCTTCATCGACAAGATCGGTGAACCGGGCCCTGAGCCAGACATCCGCACCGACATCATCGAGACGGCTCAGTGTGCACGACCCGCCTGAGTTCGACCCACTGGGAAGCGTGCCTTCGTTGGATGTATCCACGGGGCCGAATTGGAAGGATCTATATCGGGTGGTGAGACAGCCATCTACTCCGATGGTGAGTCGTCCACAGGCGAAACCAATTCGATGTATCAACTGCAAGACGGACGGCTTGGGGGCTATTCCGATGGCGACAGTATTCCGGACTCCCATGAGCCGCTAAATAGAGTGGCAATCTTCATGGCTGGCACCCAGCCGGTTCTCGGTTCAACATCCGTCGCAGCCATGACTTCCAGTGCGGCAGCGGAACTGGCAGCTGGTGCTGGCGGGTCAGCTCGCCCGCCGACTCAAGTTTTAACAGATCTGTTGGATGATCTGGCGACTCTGATGGAAGTGGAGGTAACCGCAGACAACTAGGAACAGCATAAGGTGGATGTGGCTAAATTGCGTGAGGAGATAGCACAAGCTAAGGCGGAACTAGAAGCGGAAAACACTAGGATGGCTGCAGAGCGGGCTGTCTTAAATGCCCAGGCATAGCGAATTCAAGCAGACTCATAACGGCTTATGGTGGATCAGAACGCTTCAAACAAAGTATGGAGGAGAAAACGCTAGAGTCGTCTGCCCTCGATTTATGAGTCAAGGAACCTCTTCAACACGCCCGGGGCAGGGGCTAGTAACCCACCAGTGATAAACCATACAGTTGAGGCGCCAGGGGGTGGAGCGTCGGGTCAGCCGCACATAGCAAGTTCTCCGCATATGAATAACACCTCGCCTCAGCACGTAGTGACGCCGTCGGGTCATTATTCCACCCCTCTGGACAAAATGATTGCTGCAGCTACACGATTGGCGGCTCTGCCAGTCGAGAGTGAGACTCCAACAACGATTGAAACTAGAAGGGCCAGGGAGCTTCTTCAAACGGCTTTGGTACAATAGCAGGCTTATTCCTATAGTCATGACTGGATTCATTCGACTCCTCGTCCAAACCGGAGCTACAGTAGGCACATGGATTCCCCAGCAGTGTCAAGCAGCACTAGTAGAAAACAGGGCTTTCGTTCGGGCCTGGCCAGCCCATTAGTCCCGGTTCAGTCATGAACCAGGACCCATGGGGGAATTCGTCCCGGTTCGTGAGCCCAGGGGGCCGTCCGGGGCCTCGTGGGCATTGGTCTCGGTTCGTATGGACCCATTTGTCCCGGTTCCAGGCACAAACTGGGACCAATGGTCCTCGCTCCTGGCCCACAACCATTGGTCCCGGTTCGTGGCTTGAACCGGGATAGAATGCTTGGCTTTA